CCATTTAGCCCACTTTTATTTAAATGAAAGTTCAAACAGAAGTTTCCCACACAGGGGTATCGATCATCCACAAAACAACGGTTCAGCCTCCTGGCTTACACTCAGCTTGCTGTCTGTCTCCTGCAGACTTCTTCCCAAAAATATGGCACTTGCACACCGCTGGCCTTTAGCACACAGCTAGACTCTAGCAGCCCCTTGCTGCTTTTGGCTTCCACCTCTCCTAGGTGAAGCCCACCCGACTTCCAGGCAGTGACTTCCTGTCTTCCAAGTGGAGCCCTCCTGACTCCTATCTGCGGGATGGAGCCCAGAACCCTGATCCTGACTCTCTGAAAAGGCCCGCACACACCTGTGCAATCAGTCTCCTGGCCATTCCCAAAACCTGGTCCCAGGATTGGAGATTTCATCCCTCCCAAATCGCTTCAAAATCTCCAGGCTCCAGCTCCCAAAATGGACCTTACAAACAAAGGAGGAACGTGAAAAGCCACTTTCCTCCATATCAAACCTTTACCCTGGAGCCCCTCAACCTGCCTTGTTGAGAATCCAGGGTGACAGATCGCCACACTGTCACAATACCAAAAGCTTTAATCATAGGACCCAAGTCATATCCCATCACTATGATAGACTGCCTCTGAGCCGCTGAGAGCCTGAATCAGCTGCTCGTGCCCCCTCCACAGCCCAGCGCTCCAGTGGACTGGAAGGGCAGAGCAGACAGCCAGTGACTGACAGTTACTGGATCTCTGCAGGCTGAAGACAGAGAACTAAGCAATCAGTGGTCTTTGATCCCTCAGTTCTCAGTCTTAGAGGTGGCAAGGGACCACTGCAGCTGGAATCTGTGCTGTAGCCATCTATCTGAGTATGACTGTTTTTTTTTATTTCTAAACTTCTCTTTTAAAACTTAGTACAAGTAGGGTCTGTCAGGCAGAGTCTATAGCTGTGTTGTAAACACTTCTTACTGTTCATTGTTGTGCTGTTGTGCTGTGGGAGTTATCATACTGCATTTGCTCTATATATGACCAGGCAGGGAGGAAGTGAGTTCTGCAGATTTGGATACATTTATTCAATGTCCGATCTCACCATACCATTGCTGTCTGGGGTTTACACTATATCAGACCACACAGGGTGAGTGCCAATTTTTACACTTTTTTTCTTAGCTCTCTGTCACAGAGGTGTTAAGACATTGATAACTTGACAAAATCAGAAATAAATCTAAAATTAGCTTTATTAGATTTTCTGGTGATAAAGTTACACTCACTGAAAACATGTCCCAAGATTCTTAAAGTCATAATCTTTCTTTGCACTACATTACATTGAATACTTATTGTATACCCTCATTTTTAGGAAATAGATAAATGAAAAATGGTTATAGTATATTTTGAAAATAGCTATCCTATTTATGTTCAAATCTGAGTTAAAATGTTTATATAAATTATAAAATCACAAGTACAATACCGAAACAAAATCATTCTTTCCTCCAATGACAAAGTGATACTTTGACATTGCATATGGTGGTCTTTCATTTGTTTCTTTTGCTGTTCAAACCAAAAAAATTAAAAAAAAGGGATCCAAGACAATAGGCATTACATAGCAGCCATATCATGCTGTCAGTAGAAGTGCGCAAGAACAGCTATGGCCAGGGGTGGACTGACCATTTGGAAACTCGGGCACTGCCCGAGGGCCTGGGGTCAGTAGGGGGCCCCATGAGATGCCCCTAGTACCTTTTTCATAGGCTTTTTTGAGTTTGGGCAAGGACACAGGGGCCCCATGATCCCCTATTGCCCGGGGGCCCCATGAGTTGTCAGTCCGCCCCTGGCTATGGCCCACCACCAGGTCTGTACACAGGACCTCTGTCGGTAGAAAAATGATATGTCTACATTTCTAAGTTTTGCATCACTCTTTCAAATACTGAAATAAATAATAAAGGTTGAAGCTGAGCTCCAGGGAAATTTAATAACTGCCATTGCAGCCCCCCACCCCACCCCACTGCAAGGGTTTAATGCTCATTTTTGTTTGTCTAGAGGAATATTTAAAAGCAGCTTAAGCATAGTTGACTTTATCCTAGCTCCCCTGGTAGCTGGTGTTCTCCACTCCCAATGATGCTCCAGGTGTGGACCCCATCACATACAATGCTGGTCCTGCATTGTACACAATGAGTGTGACCACCAGACGGAGTGCTGAAGTTAAGCAGCTTCAGGGGACTGGTCATATGGAGAGTGAGGGATAAGCTAAAGTGCAATTTCAGTCCAGCTAGCCCCACCCTCTTAATTTATGCTACCATCTTTGGAAGCGCCATCTTTGCACATGTGCATGGAAAACCCTGCCTGTGTGAAGATGTGCCAAAGGTGCCTGTTGGGTCCTGAAGCTGGGAAAAGCTCTTTGGCACATTTGCATACAGGAGGATCAAGCACAGCATCATTCTTGCCTAGGCAGGAAAAAGAGGAAGAGCACAAAAAGTTAAAAGCACTTAAAAAAAATCCAAATGTAAGAGAAGGAGGAGGCTGGAGCCAGGTGAAAATAATTTGTTTTTTAGGCGCGAATGTTTGATTTAAGGAAAGTTGCTTTTGAATGTTCCCCATGAAAAGAAAAGCATTAACCTTTGGAGTGCAGGTTAAATTCCCATGAGTTCAGCTTTGAAGCATATGTAAGACCAACATTTTATTTTTCATTATGTGTGGCATCATGTCCCACTGTATACAAATTTCCTAATCAAATCACTTAGAGATCCTGCCAACAACAGTACTACCTGTTGCAGGCTGACAATGCTTGTCTTGCAATTAGCAACTGCCTTGCCAGCCTGCTATGTATACTCCATTACCTAGTCCTTGTGCTAAAAAAAAATAACATAGAGATCCAGCGCAAAGACTCAAAGTACAGTAATTAAAAACAAATTCATTTATTGTATCAAATATTCAACATGCACTCAGAGAACATGTGTAAGAAGGAAGGCATGTCATCCTGTTACAGTCTGCATACAGTAGGCTGACAAAGCTGATGCTAATTATGAGGCAGGACCTTATCACTGTCTGCCTGCAACAAGAAGTGCAGATACTGGCAGGATCAGCAGGTAAGAAACTCTGCAACAGATTTAAAAAAATTAGATAAAAAAAAAATTGTATACAGTAAAGGAAGTTATTTTTCTGAAACTGCACCAAGGTTATGCTATATGGCCAATGCAGGTAGAAATCCTGCCAAATAGCATTGTTCTGGTAAATAACACAGTAATGAACACATAACTAGATTGCAGAATGTTCGGTATCTCTGTGATTGACCATGTACAGTATGCCTTTGTCTCCATGGTGGTAAGCTTTCTCAGCACAGCCCTGTATTCTGCAAACAATGTTAAAAGATGTTTCACTGCAAAAAATATAGCTGCCACATCATTTTTTTTTTATTTTAGAAATATTTGAAAGTATGTTGATGTCTTAACCACACTGCTGCTCACTTTTCTTTTATATCTGTTGCAAACTGCAATTATCCACAGATAATTTTTTCCCTAGAATAACTGAAACTTTCTAAAAACAATCCAGTAGAGAAATAAAGACTGAAGAAATTACCATAACAGTAATGGAAATGTTGAAAGTACCAATCATCAAGTGATCCAAAAATATTGTACACCATAGTAACTGGAGAAAGTTTCTAATTGTGTCCATTGCAGCATATAACTGAGTAAACTTTTGAATTCATAATAAGAAAAAAATAGGAATTTTGGGGTCTGGCACCTGACATAGTTCCTTTTAAGTGTGCCAGGAGAATATGCTCTGTTGCTATTTGGAAGACAGTTAGGACTCAATCAACTATGGTGCTGAGGTAATGAGTGTGGTCGAGGTATAGGCGTAGAAAAACAGCAGAGAACCATTATGCCATAGGTGGAGAAATGTTTTAAGTGGGCTACTCTGCTACAAGGTAGTGGGTTTTCAAATTCAATATCTAATGAGCTCCAAGAAAGAGATCTGTTCTGGCAATAGAATCAGAATAAATGATTCTGCTTTTTATGTCATACTCTCCTTCTTAAGAGAACAGAACCGGTTTGCATGCTACTGAATTCAATTTTATACTACATTCTTAAAGTGGAACTTCACCCTAAAGGGGAAGTTCTGTTCATGCCCTCCTCTCTCCCTCCTATTTTGTTTTTGGCACTTTTGTTGGGGGGGGAGTGGGTAATTGGTTTTACACACAGCGATCCACTAAAAATTCTCCTCCCCTTTGAAACCTTCTGGGACACGTCACAGGTCCCTGCAGGCTGTAGGACCATTCACAAAGGGCAGCGCAGCTCACGTTTGAGCAATGGGCATCCAGCTGTGAAGCCACAAGGTATCATAGCCAGCTAACAAACAAACAAAGGATTTCCCAGCAACACTTACCAGCTAGCCTACAAAACAACCAATTTGAACTTGTCTAACAGTTTGCATTAAAAACAGAGGGCTTTGTTTGCACACATTTGCAAGTACAGGAGGGATGGGCTCCTCCAGGCACACCTGCCCTTAACCTATCCATTGATACATGTGCTCCTACTATACATGTGCTCCTACTATGGAGGCTCTGGAAATTTTAGAGTTAGGTACACAGTATACAGAGGACCCTTGACATGGATCTGTGGTTTATGCATGTATTTGCAAATGTGTGCAAACAAAATCCTCTGTTTTAACACAAACTGTTAGACAGGGCCAAATTGGTTGTTTTGCAGGCTAGCTGATAAGTGTTGCTGGGAAATTCTATGTTTGTTTGTGATGTACCGTATTTTTCATTCCTTAAGACGCACCTTACCATAAGATGCGCCTAGGTTTTAGAGGAGAAAAACAAGAAAAAAAATTATTCTGAACCAATGGACTGCAGACATGGTACAGGAAATGACCAGAGACTGCGGACATAGTACAGGAGATGACCAGAGACTGCGGACATAGTACAGGAGATGACCAGAGCCTGCAGACACAGTACAGGAGATGGCCAGAGACTGCAGACACAGTGACCAGAGACTGCAGACACAGTACAGGGGATGACCAGAGACTGCGGACACAGTACAGGGGATGACCAGAGACTGCGGACACAGTGCAGGGGATGACAGAGCCTGCGGACACAGTACAGGAGATGACCAGAGACTGCGGACACAGTACAGGAGATGACCAGAGACTGCGGACACAGTACAGGGGATTACCAGAGCCTGCGGACACAGTACAGGGGATGACTAGAGACTGCGGACACAGTACGGGAGATGATCAAGAGACTGCAGACAGTAGAGGAGATGACCAGAGACTGCAGACAGTACAGAAGATGACCAGAGACTGCAGACAGTACAGGGGATGACCAAGAGACTGCAGACAGTACAGGGGATAACTAGATAATGCAGACAGTACAGAAGATGACCAGAGACTGCAGACAGTATAGGAGATGACCAGAGAATGCAGACAGTACAGAAGATGACCAGAGACTTCAGACAGTAAAGGGGATGACCAAGAGACTGCAGACAGTACAGGGGATGACCAAGAGACTGCAGACAGTACAGGGATGACCAGAGACTGCAGACAGTATAGGAGATGACCAGAGAATGCAGACAGTACAGAAGATGACCAGAGACTTCAGACAGTAAAGGGGATGACCAAGAGACTGCAGACAGTACAGGGGATGACCAAGAGACTGCAGACAGTACAGGGGATGACCAAGAGACTGCAGACAGTACAGGGGATAACTAGATAATGCAGACAGTACAGAAGATGACCAGAGACTGCAGACAGTATAGGAGATGACCAGAGAATGCAGACAGTACAGAAGATGACCAGAGACTTCAGACAGTAAAGGGGATGACCAAGAGACTGCAGACAGTACAGGGGATGACCAAGAGACTGCAGACAGTACAGGGGATGACCAGAGACTGCAGACAGTACAGAGGATGACCAGAGACTGCGGACCTTTAGGGAGGGAGGGGGAGCGGGTACCTGAATTTGACAGGTACCCACTCCCACTTTCGCGCAGTTGTCCTCCCTTTACTGTGGGCACCCGGCTGTGACAGCTGAGTGCCCACTGCGCATGTGCGAGAAGCACTGGACTTTGTGAATGGCCCGGCATCTTCTGGGACCTGTCATGTGTCCCAGAAGACGCCGGACCATTCACAAAGCGCAGCGCTTCTCGCGCATGCGCAGTGGGCACCCTGGCTGTCACAGATGCCGGGGTAAGAAGAAGCAGGCGCGGGAAGACTGCGCAGCGCTGGACTGAGGAACAGGTAGGGTCCTGCAGCGGAGAGCAGCTGAGCAGCCGGCCCGGTATTCTGACATGGTGGCGGCGGAATCACCGGACCGGCTGCTTTATATTCACTCCATAAGACGCACTGACATTTTTCCCACTTTTTTGGGGGGAAAAAAGTGCGTCTTATGGAGCGAAAAATATGGTATATTGCCCTTACTGCTAAGGCTGGTTATAGGTTGACATTGACATTTTTTGTGCCGTTGAATTATAACCAGCTGTCCACAGTAAACATGTCAGTGCCGGGGACCCAAAGACTGGCGAATAAGTGGTTTGAGTGAGCAGTGTGCTGGACCCCTGGACAGGTGAGTGTCCTTTAATTAAAAGTCAGCAGCTACAGTATTTTTTCCAGAAAAGTTGAAGAACCGCTTTAATATATAGTTAATATGCAACTGACAACCAAATTATTCCCATTTTATAAAACCAGTAAGTAAGGTCAGTCCCCATGGTAATGTTAACCAAAAAACAAATTGTTCTGCTAAGAGGTGTCAAAAGGAACAACCAGTTTGAACGCAAAGAAATTGTACACACAGCTACAAGATATGGCATTGCATCTAGTGCCTGTGTAGCTCCACATTACATTCTGTTCGGTTGTGAAACACTCAATGAGGGACAGCAAAGTAAATAAAAATGCTTATAGTGTCAGAGAATTCCTTCATCAAGGGTATCAAATTAAAATTCACAGAGGTCCAATAAGTAATTTTTTTTTCCCAGCAGAGGCCTGAATCTGCTGTCAGAGCTATCAATCATATCCTTCACATTACCCCCCTCCACATCACATTCCACCTTTAACATCTCATCCTACCGTCACATCACAGTTCCCACAGCCTTCCTTCACATCATAGTTTGCTCCCTTTTCAATCACACTTCCTACGGTTTCTCCCTTAGGAAGAACAGTTGGACAGTTCAATCCAGACCTGCTGTGCCTCCCACCCTCTGCAGGGCTGTGGGAAAGAAAGAGGCAGCAGGGAGCAGGGGAAAACTACAGGGATGTTGGGTGAAGATGAACACCCATGCTACTGAGTATAGCAGCTCTGGTGGTCTGAATAAGACTGTCACTCGGTCCTGATATTGGTCAGCCATTTGGTGATGCCTGCCCTAGATAATACAATTACAGTGGAACCCCTAGATGGTACAGAGAATTTTCTTATAGGAGAAACACAGCATAACACCTCACAAGGTTTTTATTTGTAGTAATTTTCTCAATGTACTATCTCTAGCCCAGGAACTGGGGACCATGTGTTTAGAGGTTGCAAAAAAGTTTACAATTTGAATATTTTTCTGTTTCTTGCTAAAATGGTTGGTTTCATTGTAGTGCAACGGAGCTTGGAAAGACTAGAAGATGAATATGCACTCGAAAGCATTTGGGAACCTTTAAAGACAGGCCATGGATGTTAAAAGGTCATTGTTCGGCATGGAAATAATTTGCAGTAAAAATGACAGTTCTGAAATAACTGAAAATAACTATTTTGATCAGCATGTGTTTTTATGATCAGTGTAAATGTATGTATATGTCTACATATGTAAATTATATGTGTGCATATACATCCACTGTCTTTGTCCTTTATTTTTATGTTTTGATCAACTGTGTATTTCAGCAATATGCTTAGATCTGAAATAGTAAAGTCAGCACTGCAGTTTATCCAGGTGTGAATATTATTTTAGAAAGACCAACTCAATTCTCTCTTGAATGAAAGCCAAAACTGAAATGACATGCTATACGGTCACCTCCAAATTATGGCGTATTCAAGAATGTACAATGAACAAGTGGCTAAAATGGTATCTAATCTGTAGCTCAATTCCTTGCTTTGTGTCACAGTCTTGGACTTACATTAGTACACTGCTTCTTGATATAGTAAAAACCTGCAGCCTTATCAAGAAAAAGAGGGTTAATTTTGTAGCACTACCCCCTTGAGGGCTGCTGAATAGTGTTCAGGTTCCCTGTCTTTCCTGAGCCTGCTTTGGAAGCCCAACCCCTGCTGACACCACCTTAGGCCTTTGCCCAGAAGAACCCTCTGGCTGCAACCATAAAATAGACTCACACACAGTTTAAAGTGAACAGAATATTTTGGTTATACTGAGGTCAAAATGGAAGCACAGCAAAACAACAAGAATGTGAATGGAATGTCAGCTAATACTCAAATCCATTCTAGATGTCCTGCAATTCAGAATTCAAATGATAGCTCCAGCCCTGAGATGTTTCTTCCCAAGTGAGCAGGAGGAGAAACAATTAAATTGGCAGGCTATCTCATGTAGGGCTTTCAGGTACTGGTGGTTGGGTTTAATTCTGAAAAAAGAAAGAGCTCTTTAATTTTATAGGTCAATGTCCCTTTAAACAGCAATGTTCAATCTTCTGCATGCTCAATGGGGCCCTAGTTGGTGCATATGAGGGTTTAAATCCTTCTTGAGGTAAGGTAAGTAAGGAGTTCTTCAGGATAAGGTGAATGAAAAGAAAAGGGAGCTGCTCCTTTAAGTGATGTGAATTTGGATAGTGTTTCCTTAGTACACACAGAGTGAAATCTAAAATTAGGCTGAAATTAAAGAAAGGCACAGAAACACACTTCTGTAGGGGTTAGTTCCTCTTCAAAAGGGCAGCAAACTTCCATGATAAAGTAATTCCTTGACGAGTGACACAGACTGGTACTGAAGCACTAATACAACGTTACCGCAGCACCCGCAGATATTGTAGCAGGCTCTGGTGATTTAATGTGTTGGAAGTGTAATGATTAGTATGCCGCAAGGCAGGATTAGACCTTAGTACATGTAACTTGTGAAACAAAGGATGTTAACCTGAGAAGAAAGTAACTGTACATAGCAATGTCATTTGCAACTTAGATGATTTGAGTATGGCGCTCTCTCATCCAATCTGTGGCCTTGGTCAGGTAGCAGATAGTCTCTCTGCAGATGGGGGACCCCTCCTCACGCCTTCACTCTCTGCGGCCTGGCCCAGGCAAGAGCTCCGGCATCCCACACAGGTTTCCCCTCACACCTGCTCTCTAGCTCTCACCGTCCACTTCCTGTCCCCGGGTTCTGTATGTATCTGCCCCCACTCATCAGCCAGCTCCTCCAGGAAAAGTAGTTTGCCAGCTCTACATTAAACAGTGAAGTGCTGCTATCAGCCTACAAGTCCAACAAAGCTTTTCTTGAGCAGAGTCTCTATAACTGAGCTACAGAACACTGCCATCTTGTGTCCATTTAACATTCTGCAGCCAGTATTTCTGCAGGATGTTCAAATTTGTAAATTGCTAATGGTTAAAAGAAACCAATCAGGATTCATACTGCATTCCCAGATGCACACGTATTAGTTCTTATGGATTACTATACTTAAAAATGAGTCTTGTTTATTAATGTATAGTAAAAATGGCCATAAACTGAAGTAATTAATAATGATGGAAATCACAGATCCAGCTTAAAGTGGCTGTAAAGGCTCAAGGTGTTTTACCTTCATGCATTCTATGCAAACCTTCAGTGTGCAGCTCCCATTACAGCCCCCCTAATACTCACCTGAGCCCCCTCTCAAACCAGCAATGTGCACAGAAGCCTTGGCTGTCCCAGGTCTCTCTCTCCTCATTGGCTGAGACAGCAGCAGGAGCCACTGGTTTTCACTGCTGTCAATCACAGGCAGTGAGCCAATTAGGAGGAAGTTGGGGGCAGGGTCAAGCTGCAGCTCTATGTATCTTAGGCTGCATTCTGAGCATCACGTTTTTGAGTGTTTTTTTTGGGCGTTTTGTCACACATTCATATGTACATTTTTGTACAGCGTTTTGCAAGTTTTTTAGAGAAAAATATCACCTGTTTTATTATTTGTTGCTAGGTTTTTCAGCTTTTTTAGTTTTTCCATCAGCTTTTATTTATTTTTTTATTATTATTCATTTATTATTATATATTTTCTTGTTAGAGCAAAGGGAGTTAGGTGTTAGGGTTAGGATTAGGGGTTGGGGTTAGGGGTTAATATTTCATTTATTGTCTTATTATTTATTTCTTGTGTTATTTATTTTTTGTAAGGGTGTTCATTTATTAATTAATGTAATAATAATAATAATGTACTTTGTTTAATATTATTGTATTATAATTATTAATAATGTATTTATTTATATAAATATTTATATTTTATTTATATTTTAGGGTTGGGGATTACATTTAGGAGGTATATATTTATATTTAATTAATTAATTAATTATTAAATGTTATTTATTTATTTATGTATTTATTTATTCATTTAACATTTATAGTGCCTTGAAAAGTATTCATACCCCTTGAAATTTTACACATTTTGTCATGTTACAACCAAAAACGTAAATGTATATTATTTTGTGTAATAGACCATAAAATTCCAATAAAATACATTTACATTTTTGGTTATAACATGACCAAATGTGGAAAATTTCAAGGGGTATGAATATTTTTTAAAGGCACTGTATTTATGATTATTTTTATTTATTTGTGTATTCATCTTATTTATATAACATGTGTTTATTAATTTATTATAATTTATTTTTAAATTGTATTAATTTGAGCAGAAAAACACGCAAAAACGTGTGACAAAATGCTCAAAGTGTGAATTGTGCATTTTCTTTCATTTCTATGGAATCACAAATGTGCAAATCTGCCCGATTTCAGCGACAAAATAGCTACCGAAGTTGTTTGAGCTTCAGGTGTTGGGCTTCAG